CCTGCCACTACCTCTGTCTCACCTCCAGCCCCGTGCTCATGCTACTCTCTCTGCTCCACTCTCTGCTCCTCCTCTACCCGGCTGGTCAGCTCCAACACGTCTCTCTCTCAGACACACACAGCCGCACTTCCTTCAGGCCTCAGCACTGTTTGGTTATGGTCACTGGCCACTGTACAGTCTGCCATATGAGTGGCTTCCCATGCTGGCCTGCACAACGCACTATCCACTGTACATCATGAGAAATGCATTATAGAAGGAACAAGAGTTTTCTAAGGATAAAGAAAGGTACACAAGAGCCTGGTGCAGTCCCTGGCAAGATGCTCACTAAGTGCTGAAACAAAGTCACACTTCTAGGGGCCCAATGCATGCTTTAGTGGAGACATACATAGGTGCTGACCAGGGTCACCTATGAGCATATGCCCATGTTCCATCACGGCCTGCATTTCAATCCTCTGCACAGCACACCTCACCATCAAATATATTCCTTGCTTAGTTGTGTGTGTTTTTATCGTCTGTCCCCCCACCTACCTCTGCATGAGAATTCGAGTTCTCTGAAGGCCGTAACTCTGTCTGGCCAGAGCCCAGACCAGAGCCCAGACCAGAGCCTGGCACATACCCTATAAACTCAAGTACTTGTGGAATGGATGAAGAGACAGGGTGAGATTGGGGGTTTCTGCTTTAGCTCAGGTAGCCAGGCTGAGGTTTGGTGACAAAAAAGAGCCCAGGTTGTAGATAGAGCAAAAGGTTCCTTGGCTGGGTGTCGTGGCCCAATCTTAGCACTCTGGGAAACTGAGGTGGAGGATCCCTTAAGCTCAGGAGTTCTAGTTCAGCCTACACAAAAGTGGTCAGACCCTTGCCTCCCCACCCAAACCCTTCCTGTCTTCGTAGAAGACCCTGTTTCACCTCTAGGAAAAATAAAAAAAATTAGCCATGTATTGTGGCAGGTGTCTGTAGTCCCAGCTACTCTGGAGGCTGAGGCAGGAGAATTCTTTGAACCTAACAGTTTGAGGTTGCTGTGAACTAGGCTGCTGCCATGGCACTCTAGCCTAGGGCAACAGAGTGAGACTCTGTCTAAAAAATAGTTTTCTAAGGAGAAGAAAAGGTACAGGCTGAAAGTGCCTGAGGAGCAACCAGGGACAGTACAGCCTGCAAGCATTGGAGGGACGGTGGACACAGAGTCTGCTGCGGTTTCTCAGGGTGTGGTTCGCAGTTTGGAGAGGAGAGGATTGTCAAAAAGACTGCTATCTTGGTCCCCAGGCTTAACTCCACTCCTCTAGTCCCTTAGCAGTCCTTGCTTAGAAACTGTTGATGTTTCCAGCCCCTGGGGCTGTGCCGGGGGAGGGAGACCTCTGGTTCCACCCCCCTGACTCAGAATCTCAAGGCACTGCTTGGAAGCAGCAAGGATTGAGAACTGAAGCACAGAAAAATAACAGCTAATCCTTATTGAGCTCTTACTGTGGTAGGCACTATTCTAAGTGCTTTATAATTATTAGCTCATTTGAACCTCCTCACTACCCTATAGGAAGGGAGTCCAGGAATCCCCAGGGTGGCCTTAATTTGCCCAAGAGCACAGAGCTGGTGAAGACTAGGCCACAGTTGCAGACAGGCAGTCTGGCTCTGCCTTCTGGCTCCGCTGGTTACCACCAGGCGTGCTACACCCTCTCTGAAGCAGATAGGAATGACTTTTGAGCACAACCTCTCATTTTATGGGTGGGAAATTGAGGCTCAAGGAGAAAATGTTTGACCAAGTATATAGATGGAGTTAGGGATAGTATACAAGTCTCCTGGCTCCCAGGCCAGTGCTCTTGAATCCTCTACCCTTGTGGCTCCCCCAGCTCGTGCCCAGCCAGCCTGTGCCAGGGAGAAGGGCCCTGTGCTCCTGACTCTAGGCCACATCAATACTGTGGTCATCCTGCATTGGAGAGGCTGCGGGGTAGAGGGACTCCTAAGAGGCTGGGAATTTTTGAGGCAAGGTGGAGCCAGCCTCTCCAAGGTTCCACCCAAGCTTCTCCCATCTCTTGCCCTTACTCTGCTCCCTCCCTCATCCTCCTCCCCCACCCCTCTCCCTGCTTCTCTCTCCTCCCTCTCCCAGCCTTGGGCAGTGGGAAGTCATGAATATTTAACTATCTTTTGCATCAGGAAGCACAGGGCCCAGCTACCTCAGCAATGAGGAAAACAGGAGGGGTTTGGGTGGGGAGCAGAGTACAGGGAGACAGGGGGAACTCATCCTAGAAGGCCTTGCTTAAGCCAGGCTTGGATGGGAACAGAGACTCAGCCACTGAGTCCCTGAGACAGTTACAGTCTGAGGGGCCCTGGGGAGACTGGGTGGGAAGCCAGGAGGCAGCAGTCCCAAGGGGCAGTCGCAAGGCAGAGGGAGAGAGGGAGGAAAGGAGAGGTAGAGAGAAGGCAGACGAGGAGCTGGAAGCTGCAGGTGACTTCCTGTCTGTCTCTACCTCTCTCTCCAAGTTCCTTTGCTCACTGACTCCTCCTCATCCCCCCTCTCCCCCGCA